GCATGATGTCTGAGTTAAGAGGTAATGATGAAAAGCCTGATAATTTCACCATTCCTATTGCTCTGAAGGCGTGTGCGAGGTTAAGGGCTCTAGCGTGTGGAAAAATAATACATGGGTTTGTGAAGAAACATGAGAAGGTTGCATTGGATATGTTTGTAGGTTCTGCATTGATTGAATTGTATTCCAAATACGGAGAAATGGGCGAGGCTGTGAAAGTGGTTGACGAGTTTTTGCACCCGGATGTGTTTTTGTGGACTTCTATGGTTACTGGATATGAGCAAAATGGTGATCCTGAAGAAGCATTGGAGTTTTTCTCCCGAATGGTGATGGTGGGGCGCATTAATCATGACCGAGTGACGCTTGTTAGTGCTGTTTCGACTTGTGCTAAGTTATCAAATTTTAGAATTGGAAGTTGTGTGCATGATGTTTCTATTAGGAACGGGTTCAACTCTGATTTATCTTTAGGTAATGCATTGCTAAATCTCTATGCAAAGACGGGTTCTGTCAAAACTGCCGCTAAGTTGTTCATGAAGATGCCGGAAAAAGATGTGGTTTCTTGGAGCTCCATGATTGCGTGTTACACTCATAATGGGGATGTAATAGAAGCGTTAAATCTTTTCAACGAAATGATTGATATGAGAACCGAACCTAATTCAGTGACTCTGGTTAGTGCATTGCAAGCATGTGCACTGGCAGGTAATTTAGAAGAAGGTGAGAAGATCCATGAAACTGCTACTAGGAAGTGTTTCGAGTTAGATATCAAGGTAGCTACAGCCCTGATAGATATGTACATGAAGTGCTCTGCACCCGAAAAAGCAGGTGATCTCTTCAATAGAGTGCCAGAGAAAGATGTGGTTTCGTGGGCTGCCTTGTTGAGCGGGTATGCTCATAACGGAATGACATACAAGTCAATTGGGGTCTTTCGCGACATGCTATCAGACGAAACTAAGCCTGATGCGTTGCTATGGTCAAGCTTCTTGTAACTTGTTCGGAATTAGGGATTCTTCAACAAGCTCTCTGCCTCCATGCTTATGTGATTAAACGTGCTTTCAAGAATAACATCTTTGTTGGAGCTTCACTCATAGAGTTATACTCGAAATGCGGCAGCATAGACAATGCTATCCTATTATTTGAAGGGATAACAGACAAAGATGTTGTTATCTGGAGCTCGATGATTGCAGGTTATGGAGTTCATGGACAAGGAGAAGAAGCTTTAAAAGTATTTGATCGGATGGTGAAGCACTAAGATGTCAAGCCTAATGATGTAACATTTCTCTCGATTTTATCTGCGTGTAGCCATTCGGGTTTGGTTGAAGAAGGCATCGAGATATTCAAGACCATGTTGCCTGAATACCAACTTAAGCCCGAACCTGAGCACTACGGGATAATTGTTGATCTTCTTGGCCGGATAGGAGAGCTGGATAAGGCAATGGAAATCGTTGAGAGAATGCCCAATCCAGCTGCACCGCATGTTTGGGGAGCCTTGCTTGGTGCATGCCGGATTCACAACAACACAAAGCTTGGAGAGGTTGCAGCAAAGAGTCTTTTTCGGTTGGATCCTAATCATGCAGGATATTACATCTTGCTCTCGAATATATATGCCATGGATAACAAATGGGAAAATGTGACAAATCTTAGAACTTTGATAAAGGAGAAGTGATTAAAGAAGATGTCCGGGCAGAACGTTGTCGAGGTGGGGAGTGACATCCGTAGTTTTGTTGCCGGAGATAGATTGCACCTTGATTCTGATCAGATTTATGGATTGCTAGGAAAATTAGAGGCGAAAATGAGAGAGGAAGGTTATGTTCCCAATGTCGATCTCCTGCTACAAAAAAACATGGCGGATGCTGTCTAGATTTGAAGTGCTGAGAAATTTCTTGTATGGAAAGTTTCGACTCACATGAAAGAAAGGCGTAATGATATGGACATACTCTAGGATTGTGATGTTTTTCTATCAAATTACTTACATAAATTTCATGAAAATATGTAGTAATTACTTGTATCAATGAGCAGTGCCTTCTTTTCCAGAAGCAAGGACAAATTCCACATACAGATTCTTGAAGGCAATCACCACTGTCATCAGCAGAGGACCCATAATCTGTTAAAACCCACCCCCAAATAATTGGAAAATTTGATATTTCCACCCCCATTTGCCACGTGTCAATCATCCAAACCCCTTCTTTTCCCTCTCTCTCTTCCCTCACCCCCGTGACTTCTCTTTTCTTCCTGTCTCTCTCTGTACTCTGTCCCTCTCAACTCTCCCGAAGCTCTCACTCTCCCGTGCATCTCTCTCCCTCAACCTCTCTCGTATCTCTCTCCCTCTGAACTCGAGTGGACCCTAGCATTCCCAGGAGAGACCTGTAGCGAACCAGGGATCCCTGCCCTGCGGCTCGATGGCACGGAGCAAAGCTCCGGCGGCTTCTCTTCCTTTTTCCCGTCGGGTAGGTCTCAAATCTCTCACTCTCGTACCTAGTTCTTGGTTTGGTTGTGATTTAGAAGCTTGAACCTTACCTTTTTACGTAGGTTTTTTCTTCGGAACGGTCGTGGGTGAGCACACCCACTTTTCTGGTGAACCCGTACACCCCAAGGACTTTTCCGGTCAGCTCCGCCCTTCTCTCTCGGCAAGCCACAGGCCAACCGGCCTCTCCCATTTCCTTCGCGGGCCTCCAGCCCGTTTTGTTTAAACCCAGTACCCTAACCCATTCCCTTTTTATTTTTAGTTTTAGTCCTTAAAACCCAAAAGGCCACGGGCCTTAATGTTGAAAGGCCTAGGGCCGGTTATGTCCTAAGGGCTTAAAGCCCTGTTTTCGGTAGTGAGGCCCGAGGGCCTTATGCTTATGTGTGTGTGTGTGTGTTTAAGTTTATATGTTTGGGCTTAAGCCCAAACCCCCTTTCCATCCTTTTAAATCCAAAAGGCCTAGGTTCCCAAAACCCATTAAAAAACCCTAAAACCCATCCTATCCCAAATCCCCTAATTTAATTTATTAGAACCCAATCTTTTAGAAAATCCTTTTAATTATTAATATTACATTCTTGTTCTTAGGTAAAATTGCTAGTGGAGAAATTGTATATCCTTATTCGCGCGACTCTTCTGCTAAGGAATATTTGTGAGTGGACCCCTTCTAAAATTACATGATTTGATAATTTAATTGCATAAATGATTAGCATGCCTACGAATTTATAATTTGATTTATGTGAAGCCTGTTAATTAAATATATTGATTATCGTCTCGTGTTTTGGTGAGGAATTAATTGTTAGCCTATACTGAGCTATATTTCAATATATCGTATTTTCTATAAAAACCATGAACTGGTAGACTATCTGACAGATGACGATAGAATGCTAGAACATGATTTTGAACCCTCTTTATAGCGTAGACGATATTCGGTAACCTATGCTATGAAGTGGTTATTTAAGAGAGACGTAACTATTTGTGCGTACCTAGTGGACACTATGCCGCCTGGGGCGAGGATCTGGTGTTGGCATTTGGGCCGGGAGAATTAATCCCTAGCAAAAGGCTGAGGGACACGGAGACAGGCATTGGGCCGGGAGGGAGTTATCTCTGGCCACGGGCACAGAGACTGAGGTGCAGGCATTAGGCCGGGAGTTATATTTATTCAGTGATCTTTCTAGCAGCACACCGCGCTTACGAGACGATTTATGAGACGTTTGATATTTCGATTTCCACGATGCTTTTCCGCGATTTATGGCTTTTGAGATATTTTTGGCATGCTAGGATTTTAGTAAATCCATCATTTATTATGCTAGTAGTTTTCATTATATAACTTTGGGGGTTAGTATTTTAATAACTGTTTTATTATTATTGTATATACGAACTTGGTCCACTCACCTTTGTTTTGCGCCCCCATTCAGGACATAGAGCCGAGGCATACAATCCTGGCTTGAATGCATTTCCGCAGCAGCAATCTTCGGATCCTCTCGATGTAGGACCCACTCCTTTATTCATTAAATTTTATCTTAATTCTTCTTAGTGATTAGGTTTAGTTGTATGCTCTGAGCACGTTCCTAAACTGTTAACTCATTGTATTTCAAAATTCTAACCTTCATTTATTTCTTATTCTTAGCTTTTGTATCAATTAATGGCTTTCGTCACCCCCGGATGTCGGCCAGCACGTGTCGGTCCTGGTATTCGGGGAATATCAGGGTCGAGGCGTGTCATAATCGCTCCCTGTAATTTGATCGGAAAAACGCAATGTGTGTGGTACAATTGCTTATAAAGCACTACACGCTCATCCTCACTAGGACTCAACAACTTGGCTCAAATATAAACCACTAAAATCACCAATCTCCACCTTGGCGTGATTCAAGCCATGATGTCCGATCCCAACGCAAATAGAGCTCCACCTTGACCACAGGCACCAAATTCCAAAGGAGCTCGCTCTTCAACTTCAACAAGCATTGCCTAAGGTCTAATACCCATTGTTGTGCGGAAGCACACCAACGGATTCCACACACACGAGTCGGTATTGCCGATATTCCACCTACTTTATCCACCAGAAAAAAGGGATATGGATTTTATCAAAAGGTCTCGGCAATATGACAATTTAAAAAAAAAGTGTATAAGTTCATATAATATTTCAAAAAAATTCCATACTGAATTTGCAGGGTATGATTAGTAACAATTAGAGTTAATCACATACATCAAACAACTAGGGTTCATTATAGGAGAGAAAATGAGGGCAACAATGGGAGCAGACGAAAGGTGAAAGGGGAAATTAGTTTCCTTGAGATGGGGGAGACCAAAATAGGGATAAACACGACACGCACATTTGCATATAAATTTCTCTAATGTCACTAATGAATCAAATAAAAAAATCATTAATTTTTTTGATAAGAAAATAAGCTATATATATGTTTAATTAAGAATTCGTTGCATTGCTTCGCTAAAAATGCTTCAGCTAAAAGTGCTTTTATTATACACTTAGAAATGCTTTCTTTCATTTCCCAATTGTTTCTTCTTCATCGTCAAAGCTTTCAATATTGAGATCAGAACCTTAAATCTTTCGCAATCTGAAGCTTAACTCTGTATCGTCGTCAGTGTCCTCCTCATCAGACTCGTATGGCACACGCTCATAGTCCACATCTGTCCAATCTGAAGCTATAAATTCCCATTCTACGATATCCACTCCTGTTTTCTTAACCTTAATTTGATGATCATCCTCTGTTTCAATAAAGTCTGCATGCACACGAACCTTGTCGCCACCTTTCAGATTGAGCTTCTTGTTTGTAAGATTTCCCAGCCAAAGATAACATTCATGGGAAGCAGTTACGGTGGTCTCCATTGGCCAAATGTGAAAACGAGTTTGCTGGGTACGATTAACAACATCAATGCATAGGGACCCAGTACAGTCTGAGCTGTCCGAAGAATAAATGATGCACACAACCAACACTCCTATATAATCAAAAGTAGGCGGCACTTCAATTTCGACAGTTTCATCCTCTCGCGCGACATAGGGTAACGAACGAGGAATATCATTTACAGAGAGAGAAAGTCCACCTTCTACATCCCCCTTCCATTTCTACAACACGAGGTGCAAAGTTAGTATAAGCAGCAATACGAAAATCAGAGAGGGAGAGCGAAAGTTCCATACCAATAGGATGTTCTCCTTAAAAGTAGCAGTGAGACTGGCGCACCCTTCCATATGAAGGGTATACAGGTTGCACAAGAAGTTATCCAGGTTTGGAATATCATTGAGTTTGCGGCAGTCTTTCAGTTGCAATTCAACCATTTCCAACATCTCTGGAAGGTCGGGCATTATTTCCTAGGACAATTAGAGAGGAAGGTTATGTTCCCAACGTCGATCTCCTGCTACACGACATGGTGGATGCTGTCTAGATTTGAAGTGTTGAGAAATTTGTTGTCGGGAAAGTTTCGACCCACATGAAAGGCGTAATGATGGACATACTCTAGGACTGTGATGTTTTTCTATCAAATCACTTGCATCAATTTCATGAAAATATGTAGCAGTTACTTGTATCAATGGGCAGTGGCTTCTTTTCCAGAAGCAAGGACAAATTCTACATACAGATTCTTGAAGGCAATCATCACTGTCATCAGCAGAGGACCCATAATTGCTCCCTGTAATTTGATCGAAAAAAACGCAATTCAAACGTCGTCAAAAGTAAGGTTTAGAAAAGAGGAATTACTTCCAACATGGAGGGGAAAAGAGCAATGCCCCCAAGTATGCTAAGGCCGGTGAGGTAGGCGATCTGTCCCGGAATCTCATCTTGGATAGCTGCTGTGCCGTATTCCAACAGAATCTGATGAACTGCCGTCACCAAGCCGGTGTAATTTGCAAAACAGCGCTCATAAGAGTAAAGGATGTGGACATGTAGAGGAAATGAATCTGGTAGAATCGAAACAAGAGATACGTAAGCCTCCTTTGAAAGAATGTGACCTTTGCAGTGGCAAGATGTGTGTGTGGTACAATTGCTTATAAAGCACTACACGCTCATCCTCACTAGCCGATGTGGGACTCAACAACTTGGCTCAAATCTAAACCACTAAAACCACTAATCTCCATCTTGGCATGTCTCACTATCCAAATGCAAATAGAGCTCCACCTTGACCACAGACACCAAATTCCAAATGAGCTCGCTCTTCAACTTCAACAAGCGTTGCCTAAGGTTTAAAACCAATTGTTGTGCGGAAGCACACCAACGGGTTCCACACACACGAGTCGGTATTGCCGATATTCCACCTACTTTATCCACCACAAAAAAAACGGGTATGAATTTTATCAAAAAAAACCTCGGCAATATGTTTGTGTGATCATTGCTTATAAAGCACCACATGGTCATCCTCGGTAGCCGATGTGGGACTCAACTTGGCTCAAATCTAAGCCACTGAACCCGACATTCATCAACCAGAAGGAAGATTGAGTTGAGAAAATTTGAAATGTTATACACACTTATACACCATTTTTAGTTTGTCATACAATTAAAAATTAAGTGATTTGTCATATCAATTTTCCAAATTCACTAATTTGTCATCCCAACATAACTTCGTTAAGTTTTTCATGCAAATAAGTTGCAATCTTTGAGAATTCAACATGGTCAATCATGTCGATAAATTTTTTTTTTTTTTGAAATGTCCGAAACCTTTAAATGTTTGAAATAATCTGAAGTGAGGAGTTGAAATGTCCAAAATAACCTTGAAAAAAAGTCATGTGCAAACCGCATGACTTATTTTAGATAGAAAACTTAACAGAGTTAGAATAATATGACAAATTAATAATTTCGAAATATTGATACGACAAATTAAAAAAAGTGTATAAGTTCATATAACGTTTCAAAAAATTTCCATACTAAATTTGCAGGGTATGATTAGTAACAATTAGAGTTAATCACATGGGAGTGGACGAAAGGTGAAAGGGGAAATTAGTTTCTTTGAAATGGGGTGGGGGGAGACCGAGGAATAAACACGACACACTTGCATGTAAATTTCTTTAATGTCATTAATGAATCAAATAAAAAATCATTAATTTATTTGATAAGAAAATAAGCTACTTATATGTTTAATTAAGAACTCGTTTAGCATTGCTTCGCTAAAAACGCTTTAGCTAAAAGTGCTTTTATTATACCCACATTGAAACTCTTATTAAAAATTCAAGTACTTTCTAAAAAAGACACTTTGGAATGCTTTCTTTCATTTCCCAATTGTTTCTTCTTCATCGTCAAAGCTTTCGATATTGAGATCTGATAAACTCAAATCTTTTGCAAGGTTGGACCTCATCAGATGAGTAATCGCTTAACTCTTTATCGTAGTCATCAGACTCATATGGTGCAGTCTGATAGTCCTCTTCCTCATCAGACTCATATGGTGCAGTCTGATAGTCCTCTTCCTCATCAGTATCTTCATCAGACTCATATGGCACACTCTTATAGTCCACTTTTATAAAATCTTAAAGTACATATTCCCATTCTATGATATCCACTCCTGTTTTCTTCACCTTAATTTGATGATCATCCTCTGTTTCAATAAAGTCTGCATGCACACGAACCTTGTCGCCACCTTTCAGATTGAGCTTCTTGTTTGTAAGATTTCCCAGCCAAAGATAACATTCATGGGAAGCAGTTACGGTGGTCACCATTGGCCAAATGAGAAAACGTGTTCGCTGGGTACGATTAACAACATGAATGCATAGGGATCCAGTACAGTTTGAGTTGTCCGAAGAATAAATGATGCACACAACCAACCTTCCTATGTAATCAAAAGTAGGCGGCACTTCAATTTCGACAGTTTCATCCTCTCGCGCGACATAGGGTAACCAGGGAGGAATATCATTTACAGAGAGAGAAAGTCCATCAATTGTATACCCCTCCCATTTCTACAACACGAGGTGCAAAGTTAGTATAAGCAACAATACGAAAATCAGAGAGGGAGAGCGAAAGTTCCATACCAATAGGATGTTCTCCTTAAAAGTAGCAGTGAGACTGGCGCACCCTTCCATATGAAGGGTATACATGTTGCACAAGAAGTTATCCAGGTTTGGAATATCTTTGAGTTTGCGGCAGTTTTTCAGTTGCAATCCAACCATTTTCGACATCTCTGGAAGGCCGGGCATTATTTCCAGTTCAGTGCAGTAATTCGCTTCCAGTCTACGCAAACTTGTAGGCAAATCTGGGATTGCCTGAAGGTTTGTGCAATGATTTAGAAACAAAGATGTAAGCTGGGAAAGGCCACTGAGGATGGGTAGCCTATTAAAACCATTTCCCTCTAGTGTTAAAATCCTTAAAGAAGATAGACTCCGAAGGCTTTCAAGAATGGCATCATCCGTTATATTGCAGTCTTCAAGACCTAAATACTGAAGCATCTGCAACTGTGCAAATAAATGGTAACCCCAAGACACACTCTTACAGCCGTAGAGGCTCAAAACCTCGAGATGTGGGAGTTTTGAAAAGTCTGGTAATTGAGTCAGGTTACGGGAATGATTGAGATAAAGAACCTTCAACTTCTTCGGCAACTGTTTGGCAAAAAGATAGAACAAAAATCATAATCCATATTAGAGAGAGAGAGAGAGAGAGAGAGAATGACTGTCGACTGATGTTGGTATTTACAAACACGGACGAGGAAAGGATTAATAATTTGGTTGAGGTTACGACAATTATATGTATCGTACCAGATCGGAATCCTCCCAAACTCGGACAAGCTTGCTGTACCTCAAGTCAATAAGAACTAAGTTTCGTAAATCAAAATCATCGGGTATGACCTCTAGAGGAAATCCCTGCCAACGCAATAATCTTAACTCCTTGGAAAGATGACGGTAGCTTCCAGTGAGCTTTACATTTTTGAGTCGGAGAAATTTCAGATGCCGCATCTTCTTAAATGCTTTTGTCCGGAAGGGATGCTCATCAGAATTTTCTGGCAACTCTAAAGTTAGCCCTCTAATTGCTTCCGTTCCCTGTTGGGGGAAAACAAGAACAAATCTAATTCAAGCAGAGCCATGACTATCTATGAACGAACTACAAATGCAGCGCATACAATGCATTAGATGTGGGATATGCATATGCTTCTGTTTATTTACATACATTCAACATAACATTTTTATTGGGATTTGGGAAAGCACTTACAGATTCGTCTCTTAACACGCTTGTTACGTCTTCATGATGCCATAATCGACTACGTTTTCCAGGTTCCATAGCACATTCTGCCCGCACAATTTCTCTTCCCATGTCTCGAATCAAATCATGCATCCTAATGAATCCTAAATCAAAATCTACAAGACATCGATCTTGAATGGTTTTGAATTCTGATTCTACACAAAAGTGACTGCAACTATCCAATATTGCCACGACTTCAGTTTCATCCCGGTTAATAAAGAAATGAGATATGTCAAGGACACACCTTTCACATGATCATCACTTAGCCCGTCATAGCTTAATCTAAGTGTTTCATGAATTTTTCCATCAGGAATATTTCTCAATTTTTCCAATGTACTTTTCCATATGCTTTTACTCTTTTTCGTAGCCAACAAACGGCCTACGACTTTAAGAGCTAGCGGCAATCCTCCACAATAATCGACAACATCTGTTGCGAGTTCAATATATTCTTCATCAGGACAATGATTTCCAAACGCATGCCAACTAAGGAGCTCAAGAGCTTCTTCATCCGTCATTGTTTGTGCCTTATATTTTTTTTCCACCTTCTGTATATTCAGCACTTGTTCATCTCTTGTTATTAAAATAATCCTACTTCCTGGACCAAACGAGTGATGTTCTATCGCCAATTCATCTAATTGGTCCGCATCATCTATGTCATCAACTACGATGAGTACCTTCATGCTTCCAAGTCTTTTCTCTATCTCCTTGGTCCCTTCGGCAACACTACTTATTTTAATGTCAGGCCGTTTCAAAATATCTCGAAGAAGTTGTTCTTGCAGACTAACCATATTTTTCTTTTTACTCCTCACCTCTTCAAGGTAACATTGACCACGGAAACTATGATGGTATGTGCTATAAATGGTTCTCGCAAGCGTTGTTTTACCTATGCCGCCCATACCCCAAATTCCAATTATTTGAACATCATGTGAACCTTCAACATCTAAGTATTTAGTACTGAATTCTTCCACGCGAAAAGCTATTCCAACTGAGTGCTTGGCTTCTTTTAAGTCGCTGGTTTTTAGTAGTCCGATGATGTCCCCAACAACTTTCTGGATAAATACTCCTTCACGCCTGCCAATTGGAAATCCAAATTATGCAAACAGATGATTAATCATGCAACAGCAGGATTCATATGAACTAAATGCCTTATGCATCACGACATGGCTGATTAGTGAGTATCCCAAAAGCTAATTGTACAAGATGTTGCAAGCGATTAAATTTTGTAAAAGAGGAAATTAGAAATGATACCTGTCCGCAGTGGTTTCAAGATTCCGGCCAACCAAATCTGCAGAAGCCTTAAGATCCTTTCTCCACTGCTCGACCTCATTTGGGTCTTCATCCCTTTCATGCTTCTGAAATGCTTCCCCAAAACTACCACTCTGTTTCCTCACTTCAGAAGGGCCACTCTGTTTCCTCACTTCAGAAGGGTCAACGTCGTAGAATATTGGATAGACTACTTTCCCCTCTTGATCTTCTCGGCACCTCATGATCTTCGACAGCTCCCTCAGGCACCATCGGGACCCCGCGTAACTCTTTGAGAAGACGACGACCGCGACCCTCGACCCTTCGATTTCTTGGTCAAGTTCTCTCTGTATATTCTCCCCCTTTCTGAGCTCGTAGTCTATAAACGTGTTGATTCCGGCATCGCGTAACGCTTTGAAGACGTGGTCTGTGAACCCAGTGCGTGTGTCCTCGCCTCTAAAGCTCAGGAACACCTCGTACTTCCAGCGGTTTGAACGCCGAGAGGAAGAGGAACCGCCGGCGGCGGCGGTTGCAAGGGCGAGGCTGCCGGTATTCATTGATTTCAAGCAAAGAAGTGAAACTCCTGATCGTTTCAGTCTAAAGAAAACAATTCTCTCCCAAGATTCCCAGCGAAACTCCTGATTATTGTTTTGGATCGCTGGAAGATGTGAGAGCAAAAAATAATGAAGAAAGAAGAGGGAGAGAAGATGCAAGATGCGGCTGAGTAAGAAAAGATGGGAGGGAGAAAATAATAACAAAAACTGGGATTGAATTAAGTTTTCAACAGACAAAATAAATACTAAAGTGAATATATCAGGTTTGACTTTTTAGTGTAAAAATATAGTTTTTTGTTTAAGTAAACAGTACCGTTGACTTTTTGTTAAAACTCGCATAATAATATACCCACATTTGTAGTAAGAAGGCTTTTCTTAAAAGACCTAGCTTCTCTGTCCTTCCACTTTCCATATACTTTCATCCTCTCTTATTTGTACGATCACGGTTAAGTCACGTCTACATTTTATATTCTTATTATCTCTATAAAAAAATCAATATAAAATGTTGACACTTAACCGTGATCGCAAAAAAAAAAAAGAATGAAAGTGTATAAGAAGTGGAAGAGCAGAGAAGCCGGTCCTTTCTTTATGGGCTTGATTGATTAAGTCTAATCTACCAATATATTATATTTAATAGGCCTTATTGTATAGGTTGTCATTGTCGACGGCATCGCGATCATTATTCAAAGCATATAATCAGTTTTTAATTAAGGTGGATTACTGTTCTGATTGGTTTGAAACATTCAAACTATTAAAATGTAATATAGTTTTGAATAATTGCTAGTGGACGTATTAAACGAGAGTGCGAGAGGCACGATAACGATTCTTATTGAAAAATTTAATCCATAACACATGATGCAAATTAATTAAATACATATTCATACAGGCCATGAAATTTATAAATCAAGACGTGCTCAATTATCAAATTTATTAAAAATTTCTAAGTACCTCATTATTTTGTTTGGATTGATCAGTTGACCCGATTAAAATGCCCACCCTACTTGAGAACCTGCATTTACATCGAATATGAGAACTTGGCTAGGTCTCGTCCATGTCCTTAGTACAATTATCCATTAATGGTCATATATAATGTAATGGCATTTTTTTTTCGAACGACCATATTTGACCATCAATAAATGATTGCAATAAGTACTTCAATCCCTAGCTAATATTATTAAACTCGAATCGCAACGTTTACATCGAAAATCAGAGTATTAAACAATTCTTGCTCCACGGTTACCTAGTGTCCCCATTAAAATTGAAAGAAGGCTACATGTGCTCTTAGCAAATTATTATTGGCACTTCAAAAATCTCATTTTGCACTCCAAACTTTCTATAATTAGAAAGAAAAATATACTTGTGAGAAGTGTAGAATGAGATTGTTGGACTGCTAATAACAGTTCCCTAAATAAATAAATAAAATTAATATATATTCGGTTCGGTTTTAGAATCATTGAAACCGAAACCAAACCAAATGATTTCGGTTTGATTCGATTTTTTGTTCAGTTCGTTTTTTAGGTTTCGGTTCAATGTTCCGTTCATTTTTTTTCCTATTTTTAATCCACCCTTAGTTCACGACCTTATTCTATTTTAAAGGTGGTGTACAGGTTGGTTCAACTGATGTTGATGGACGTCATGGGTTTATGAACAAACATGACAAGGTTGCACTGGACATGGCACATGTTTGTGGGTTTTGCATTGATTGAATTGTATTTTAAATGCAAACAGATGAGCCAGAGTTTGGCAATCAATGCTCCAATTAGGATAAAGTCTGAGGACCAATTTTAACATTAACAAAACATAATAATAGTAATATGCCACTTATTCAATATGCTAATATTCAATCTGATTTTAATGATTCACATGCAACGATTTCATAGTCACATGATGTTTTAATATTGTATGTATAATTTTTTTAGAGACATCACGCGACGAAAGGCCAGGGTTCTGCTGTCCCGAACTTTGTGTCTCCTGCCATGTCTCCTTCTAATTATGTCATTTAACTTAACTCCCAATTTAACAGTGTCAACTTTTCTTAATTAATATTTATTTAAATACAAAAACTGATTCCCCAAAGAAAATTGAAAATCAAAACAAAAAGAAAACAAATCCCAACTGGAAGTCCGAAAGTCTGCAGCTCCCTCCAATCTCAGTCGGCGGCAATTCACACGGCCGTTGAAGCTTCCATTACACTCTCTTTCTATATCTCACCAGCGAAGTCCCGTAGGATGATTGAGTCAAACCTTCCCGTATATTATGATCTCGCCGTTTATTGTCATCGAGTCGATTCAAATCTCGTTTCTATAGATTGACCAAATTTCTTCCTTGCTTCCTCAAACCAAAAATTACATAAAATTTGATGTTTGACGGGCCGGGTTGATCACGATTGGGTATTTGAACGGAGAAAAAAATGGCGAACAGAGAGAAAAGGAGGTTTCGCCAGCCGTGGAGTTCTCCGATGACAGACCGATGTTGTTGGCTGTCGAATTGGTGTTGATGGGAATTTGAGTGGCTGTTGCTTTTAATTTTTTAACTTTTAGTTTTTATTTATTTAACCTTATTAAACATTTTTTGACAAAAAAAGCCTTATTAAACATTTGACACTGTTAAATTACAAGTTAAATTAAAGGGTATAATTAGAAGGGGACATGAAAGGAGACACAAATTTAGGGACATCAAATCCCTGGCCGTGTAAAGAGGATGAGAGCCTACGGACCCTAATGAGCTTGACCACTGGTTTGATTGATGACTAAGAATTAACATCTCTTTTTATGTGACTTGAAGCACAATTAGGTTTGATATAAAATAATACAAGAAAGTATGAACCTAAGAATTTGTAGTGGAAAATACAAAAGGTTTTTAATATACCAAAGAAATAACGTATCAATCATGAGTTGTACGTTGTTTTGTATTTGTCACTGATGGATTAGTCATCGTCATTGTCAATGTCATCGTCAAACTCATATGATATAGTATGATAATCCTCCTCACTAGTATCATTAGGCTCTATATAGTACACGTTTATAATGCACCATATTCACTCCTGAACGAAAAAAGTATAGGAAAACAAAAATTGGTAGAAAGTGAGAGACTCAGAGCAGTTCCACCGGAGCTTTGTTTGCCCATCACCCAGTAAAAAAAAACACACTGAGGGTCTGTCCATTCACTTCAGCCAACAAAGTTGCCTGACACCCAACCCAAGCCAGGCAACAAACCAGCCCATTTTTGACAGACCCAAGAGCCGGCCTATTTGGCTGGCGCGTGGCCGCGAGTAGGAGACAAGGTTGCAGAGGGCTGTCAACCCACTTGTGCTCCGGAGCCCCATTAGTGACGTGGCATGTTCATAGCCGTTGGATTTCCAACAGTAAAAAAAATTTAAAATTTACTTTTAAACTGGACCGTCCGATCACAAATCAACGGTCCACGTTTTTTACCCCAATACAGAAAATTTTTAATAAATTTAGATATTATTATTATTATTATTTTATTTTTTATAAATTCAGAAATTAAAAATAAAATTATTATTTTATAATAAAAATACTAATATTTTAATAAAATGGACTATGCTATTCTTTGTTAGGGGTGGAGATGCTTTGGCCTATTACTATTCACTGAGGTCTATTACTGTTCACTTGAGTAGATAAATGCGCTGGGTGCTGGCACAAAGTCCTTAGGGGTGGACTTGCTCTTAGTGAAAAAGAAGAGAGTGGTATTTTGGGAGAATGATTCTACGATCTGTATGTTCACATAGATGTGAATTATACGTATTACAATTTGACCTTGTACAAACATTTAGGGCACGTTTGTTTGGCCGGCTTAAGTTTCACTGGACTGGACTACTAAGCTAGAATCAGTAGTCCTGTGTTTGGTGTAAATTGGGATTGTGTTTAATGGGATTAAGCCGGACTCGTGCCGACTAAATTCTTCGCTAGGTGGGCTTAGCGAGAGCCACCAAAAACGAGGGGATTTGTAGTCCCGCTTCTGTTCTTCTCTTCACCTCATGTTGCTTCGCTTCACCCCAGGCTTGAACGACAACTTGCGGTCCCTTTCTCTGACTCTCTCTCTCTCCTCCTCCCTCTTCTTCATCTCAGAAGATCTCCAAATCTGCAATTTTGGGTTTGACGGAAACGAATCCAAGAAATCCAAGCCATAGCCGTCTCTCATTTCCCCGACTCCACAAACCCTGACTCGTTGCCGAACAGCTTGCCAGGCATTGTTGCAGGCTGGTTCCGCCGCTCCACAGGCTTGCGGCTCCGATTGAATCCACGGACTTGGAAAGCTCTCTCCAGTTGTAATCTTGCACCGAACAAAAACCTGAAAAACCAAGCTCGATTCTTCGTTTTGCAGAAAAAAAATTTGGCAATTAATCGGAAAAAAAGAGGACAGGAATGAGAGAGTGGGACGGAGAGAACGAGGGAGATAAAGAGGGAGAAAAGGATGAGGCTTCCACAGAGAGAGGGAGAGTTTTATTAGAATAAAAAAGGTAGAATTAATTAATATAATATTATTAGATATGAATTAAAAAATATAATATTGTAGTTTGCTATTATCCTTCTTTTTAGTCCGACACTGCACCAAACGCTTCACTAAGTTAGTCCAGCTTAGTCTAGTCTAAGTCAGTCCAGCTTAGTCCCTGAAGCTAGTCCAGTCTGAGATAGTCCGGTGCAACAAACGCACCATTAAGTGATTCATGTATTTGCTGAATAGTTCAAATTCATCGCACTCTTTTCATTTCCTCAAACAAAACAGAACAAAGATAGACTCTTAATTCATAAAATGTGGAACATTTGTCCTTTTACACATACATAATAAACGAAGCATGTAACATGTGTTTCACTTGCTTAATTTGTCGGAAGTTCTCATGCAAATGCTATGCATTTTATAAAATTCTAATACCAATTCTATACATCTCGTCAAAGAGAGATAAAAACACGCCACACAAGGGAAAAAACGAAGAAAACCGACTTGACTGGATTCGACACAGGTAACTTAGAGCCACAAGTGTAACTACCAACGAAACTCAATCTGGTTTTATGAGATTGTGAGATTCTTTTGGGGTTACCAAGTGAGTCTTCTGCATGAAAAGGAGGGAAGTCTTTGCGAATATGCTTGCATAATGTAACAACGTGAAATCAGCGGCGTAATTGCACTCTCAAACCCTCAAAGCCGGCCTTTCCCAGGACAGATTCTTTGCCACAAAACTCGACGCTCTGTATGCAAAATATGAGTCGCTCGGTCATGCCCGCAAGGTGTTCGATGAAACGCCCTACAGAAGTGTCTATCTCTGGAACGCCATTCTCAGGAGCTACTGTAGAGAGGACCGATGGGAGGAGACCTTGTGTTTATTTCGTAACATGATGTCTGAGTCAAGAGGTAATGATGAAAAGCCTGATAATTTCACCATTCCCATTGCTCTGAAGGCGTGTGCGAGGTTAAGGGCGTGTGCGAGGTTAAGGGCGTTCGCGTGTGGAAAAATAATACATGGGTTTGTGAAGAAACATGAGAAGGTTGCATTGGATATGTTTGTAGGTTCTGCATTGATTGAATTGTATTCCAAATGCGGACAAATGGGTGAGGCTGTGAAAGTGTTTGACGAGCCGACATTCACCTCTCCTAGACCCTACGTAAAGCGGGAGCCTTGTACACTGGTACGACCTTTTATGTGTTTTTGTATACTTTTATGGTTACTGGATATGAGCAGAATGGTGATCCTGAAGAAGCATTGGAGTTTTTCTCCCGAATGGTGATGGTGGGGCGCATTAATCATGACCGAGTGACGCTTATTAGTGCTGTTTTGGCTTGTGCTCAGTTATCAAATTTTAGAATTGGAAGTTTTGTGCGTAGTGTTTCTATTAGGAATGGGTTCAACTCTAATTTATCTTTAGGTAATGCGTTGCTAATTCTATATGCAAAGACAGGTTCTGTCAAAACTGCCGCTAGGTTGTTCATGAAGATGCCGGAAAAAGATGTGGTTTCTTGGAGCTCCATGATTGCGTATTACACTCATAATGAGGATGTAATAGAAGCGTTAAATCTTTTCAACGAATATTGATATGAGAACCGAACCTAATTTAGTGACTCTGGTATGTGCATTGCAAGCATGTGCACTGGCAGGTAATTTAGAAGAAGGTAAGAAGATCCACGAAATTGCTACTAAGAAGTGTTTCGAGTTAGATATCAAGGTAGCTACAGCCCTGATTGATATGTACATGAAGTGCTCTGCACCCGAAAAAGTAGGTGATCTCTTCAATATAATGCCAAAGAAAGATGTGGTTTCGTGGGCTGCCTTGTTGAGCGGGTATGCTCATAACGGAATGGCATACAAGTCAATTGGGGTCTTTCGCGACATGTTATTAGACAAAACTAATCCTGATGTCGTTGCTATGTTCAAGCTTCGTGCAGCTTGTTCGGAATTAGGGATTCTTCAACAAGCTTTTTGCCTCCATGCTTATGTGATTAAACGCGCCTTCAAGAATAACATCTTTGTTGAAGCTTCACTCATAGAGTTATACTCGAAATGCGGCAGCATAGGCAATGATGTCCTATTATTTGAAGGGATAACAGACAAAGATGTCGTTATCTGGAGTGCAATGATGGCAGGTTATGGAGTTCATGGGCAAGGAGAAGTAGCTTTAAAAGTATTTGATCGGATGGTTAAGCATTCAAATGTCAAGCCTAATGATGTAACATTTCTCTCGATTTTATCTGCGTGTAGCCATTCGGGTTTGGTTGAAGAAGGCATTGAGATATTCAACACGATGTTGCATGAATACCAACTTAAGCCATGACCTGAGCAGTACGGGATAATTGTTGATCTTCTTGGCAGGACAGGAGAGCTGGATAAGGCAATGGAAATCATTGAGAGAATGCCCAATCCAGCTGCACCGCATATTTGGGGAGCCTTGCTTGGTGCATGCCGGATTCATAATAACACAAAGCTTTGAGAGGTTGCACCTAAGAGTCTTTTTCAGTTGGATCCTAATCATGCAAGGTATTACATCTTGCTGTCGAATATATATGCCATCGATAACAAATGGGAAAATGTGACAAATCTCAGAACTTTGATAAAGGAGAAGGTGTTAAAGAAGATGTCCGGGCAAAGCGTTGTCGAGGTGGGGAATGACATCTGTAGTTTTGTTGCCGGAGATAGATTGCACCTTGATTCCGATCAGATTTATGAAGTGCTAGGAAATTTAGAGGTGAAAATGAGAGAGGAAGGTTATGTTCTCAATGTCGATCTCCTGCTACACAACATGGCGAATGCTATCTAGATTAGAGCGAGGGATGTTGACATGTAGAGGAAATGAATCCGGTAGAATAGAAACAAGAGATACGCAAGGCTCCCTTGAAAGCACTACACGCTCATCCTCACTAGCTGACGTGGGACTCAATCACTTGGCTCAAATCTAAGCCACCAATCTCCACCTTGGCGTGATTCAAATGCAAATGCAAATAGAGCTCCACCTTGACCACAGACACCAAATTTCAAATGAGCTCGCCCTTCAACTTCAACAAGCGTTGCCTAGGGTCTAATACCAATTGTTGTGCGGAAGCACACCATCGGGTCTTACACACACGAGTCGGTATTGCCGATATTCCACCTACTTTATCCACACAAAAAAGGGTATGGATTTTATCAAAAAGCCTTGGCAACATGTTTTGTGTGATCATTGCTTATAAAGCACCACATGGTCATCCTCAGTAGCCGATGTGGGACTCCACTTGGCGCAAATCTAAGCCACCGAACCCAACATTCATCAACCAGAAGGAAGATTGAGTTGAGAAAATTTGAAATGTTATACACACTTATACGCTATTTTTAGTTTGTCATACAACTAAAAATTTGAGTGATTTGTCATATCAATTTTCCAAATTCACGAATTTGTCATCTCAACTTAATTTCGTTAAGTTTTTTCATGCAAATAAGTTGCAATCTTTGAGAATTCAACATGGTCAATCATATAACGGAGTTAGAGTAATATGACAAATCAATAATTTGTAAATATCGACATGACAAAACGCTTAAAATTTTAATTCATATGACAAATAAAAAAAAGTGTATAAATTCATATAACATTTCAAAAAAAATTCCATACTGAATTTGCACGGTATGATTAGTAACAATTAGGGTTAATCACATACATCAAACAACTAGGGTTAATTATAGGAGAGAAAATAAGGGCAACAATGGGAGTGGACGAAAGGTGAAAGGGGAAATTAGTTTCTTTGAAATGGGGTGGGGGGAGACCTACAGAGGGATAAACACGACACAAACTTGCATGTAAATTTCTCTAATGTAACTAATGAATCAAATAAAAAATCATTAATTTATTTGATAAGAATATAAGCTACTTAAATGTTTAATTAAGAGCTCGTTCGGCATTGCTTCGCTAAAAACGCTTCAGCTAAAAGTGCTTTTATTATACCCACATTAAATCTTATTAAAAAAGGAAAACTAATTAAAAGGGTTTGAAAACTTTGAGTTTTAACGATAAGGACAAAATAAAGGGTAAAATGAATAGTAGCAGATTTGACTTTTTAGTGTAAAAATGTGATTTTTCATTAAAGTGAACATTACCGTGGGCTTTTTGTTAAAACTCCCTATTAAAAATTCAAGTACTTTATAAAAAGACACTTTGGAATGCTTTCTTTCATTTCCCGATTGTTTCTTCTTCATCGTTAAAGCTTCCAATATTGAGATCAGATAACCTTAAATCTGTTGCAAGGTTGGACCTCATCAGATGAGTAATCGCTTAACTCTGAATCGTCGTCAGAGTCCTCCTCATCAAACTCATATGGTGTAGTCTGCTAGTCCTCCTCCTCATCAGTATCTTCATCAGAATCATATGGCAAACGCTTATAGTCCACTTCTATCAGATCTGAAAGTACATATTCCCATTCTACGATATCCACTCCTATTTTCTTCACCTTAATTTGATGATCATTAAAGTATGCAAGCACACGAACCCTGTCGCCACCTTTCAGATTGAGCTCCTTGTTTGTAAGATTTCCCATCCAAAGATAACATTCATGGGAAGCAGTTACGGTGGCCTCCATTGGCCAAATGTGAAAACGAGTTCCCAGGGTACGATTAACAACATGAATGCATAGGGACCCAGTACAGTCTAACTTGTCTGAAGAATAAATGATGCACACAACCAACCCTCCTATATAAGCAAAAGTAGGCGGCATTTCAATTTTGACAGTTTCATCATCTCGCGCGAAATAGGGTAACGAGCGAGGAATATCATTTACAGAGAGAGAAAGTCCACCAATTACATCCCCCTTCCATTTCTACAACATGAGGTGCAAAGTTAGTATAAGCAACAATACGAAAATCAGATAGGGAGAGCGAAAGTTCCATACCAATATGATGTTCTCCTTAAAAGTGGTAGTGAGACTGGTGCACCCTTCCATATGAAGGGTATACATGTCGTTGTTGCACAAGAAGTTATCCAGGTTTGGAATATCTTTGAGTTTGCAGCAGTCTTTCAATTGCAATATAATCATTTCCGACATCTTTGAAAGGTCGGGCATACTTTCCAGTTCAGTGCAGTAATTCACTTCCAGTCTAAGAAAACTTGTCGGCAAATCTGGGATTGCCTGAAGGTTTGTGCAATGATTTAGATATAAAGATTTAAGCTGGGAAAGGCCACTGAGGATGGGTAGCCTTGTTTGGGTTAAAACTTGAAATTTGGGCTCAAAAGGGAGTTGGCCCAAGAGAAGGTCTAGAATGAGAGAAGCCCAAAGCTCAGCCGAAGCCCAGAAAGCAGAAGAGGCCCTTTCCCGACTAAGTGCAAATCATTTGCACCACTTGCTCACCTACCTAGAGGTTAAGTGGTGTAGACCAGCTAACTAATCAGCCCAAAAGTACTTTATAATGGCAGTACAAGTAAATAGTTGATGAGTCACTGCCCTTCAAGCTACATTCAGGCAAGATTAATGCTACAGGAGGCCAAGCCAAACTGTCTATAAAAGAAGAAAGAGAAATCAGAGATAAACACACTCAAACAAACAAACAAATACACAAACTCTGCTCAAACCAGATTTGCATACAAAGCTGTAGTCAGCATCAAGCCTTCATCCCTTTCGGGATCAACCTTCACCAAAAGCCTTTGTAAAAGCTCTGCTACCTTGTCTAAATCTTGCTCTAGTATCAATTTCCTTCTGTAAACTCACCTCCCTATCCCCCTCTCTAGCTCTCAAACCCTTTTGTAAATCACAAAGATAGGAAGTTGCAAGACGATCAGCCTTGCCCGACCCTCTTTGTTTTTGTCTTTTCATTCATAAATCTAGTAATATGTTGTATACTGCCATTTGTATCCAAGTTATTTCTAGCAAGTTTATGATTAAAAGACTTCTCAGTTCTTGAATCCGATCGGGTTAATAGTGCCCAACCATGCAAAAGATAAGTTGGAATATGCACTCGCAGCTTAATAAGATCTAAGTTCTAATCTCTCGGGCGTACAAGATTGATTATTCAAAAGTCCTTAGTCTCAAGGCATAAAAAAGAACTTTATGTGGACTTAATCCATCCACGACAATCCTTGATAACAAGAAGTCCGAAGTTGCTTGGGGCGCAAGTAATCGACTTATTTATTAGTTTTATCTCTGTTATATTATAATCATCATAGAACGTTTGAGAATAGAATTAATTCTGATAGGAAGCCTTAAGGCTTATACCTAAGGCCCTACAAAGGCACCTATTTGAGTTCATTCTGCTCTTCAGGCTCGGGTGATTAGAAGTATAATAGTTATAATACTCTGCAACAATGAAACAACCATTATATGTTCGAGTACTTGGTTAGTTCTTGATTGTGAGCCTCAAGGCCTACACCTAAGACCCCACAAAGGCACCTTTCATAACTAAAATAGTCTATCGGGCATATATAAAATTAAACTCAACATCTGTTTTACATCTGCCATATTAAAGATGGCAGTGGCACGCCTGAGCACTTAAAAGTTAATTTTGATTGTGAGCCTCAAGGCCTACACCTAAGGCCCCATAAAGGCACCTTTCAAAGTTAACTCTGTCATTCTCTTTCAGCCTTGCCTGACAGGCCTTGCACGACAAGCCCACCAGTAAGCAGAAGCCCGACAGACAGTATCAACCGGCGCCAACCTCTCGGGGAGCTGTGTGCTCGTTCGCTAAGAAACGTCCTCATCGGAAATTTTAGTGACGAACATAGTTTTGGCACGCCCGGTGGGATTCGTTAATCAGATCTTACTTGCCAAAGAAATATGTCAAGAAAACCTGAAGATTTGAAAAGGGCAGTTGTTCCAGAAAAATTTAATGAAGACTTGCAAACTACCTTGTTGCAAATGTTGCAGAGATTGGAAAACGCCTCCACGGGCTTTAGAAGGAAAACAAACCTGGTTATAAAACCAACTATTCCTATATCTTTACCTCTAGTTGGGGACAAAGATGATGGGGAAGAAGAAAGAGGAAAAACCAGCCAGCCAGAGGAAGCAGTGGTGGATAAATACACAGATCCTTTCTCAGAGGCCCTAGTAAATATGATTAATTTGGCATGGGCCGAGAAGGGGAAAGAAAAAGTAGCAATGGAAATAGAAGAAGGAAAACCGGGTGACAAATCCACAAAAGGGGTAATCAAAGTGCCTGAACATCCAAAAGCAGCTATAATCAAAGGGATGGTTCTTTGCAGTAAATGCCAATGTGAGTGTGAGCTCGAAATACCGCTAGCTGGAATCCTCATGGATCATGAGTTGATCAGGAGGAAAGAAGAAGAAGAAAGAAAGGAGGCCCGCGAGAAAGCTAGGAGGACAA